GAGTCCCAGCTTCCTAAGCCATTCAGCCCCTCTAGTGCCTAAGCGGCTAATTTATAGTTCTTCACTAGAGCACCTGTGAAACCAGAGTGAGAAGCTGAGATGCCTCATTCACCAGGGACCTAATAGTAACCCTGCATCCTATCAGTCACATTATTAGTTACTCATGTAGTGGGCACCTATAGGTTGATGAGAGGTCTAAGGCGGCAGTGTGAAATAAAAGCAAGTTTAGAGCTGAATCAGGGGCGTTTTTGAGTATTTTCTCATGAACAAGGAGAAATTACCAATTTTTCAAACGTTCTCCTCTACACTGTAACCTTCTAAAGGTGATTAAAATATTTAAGTGGCAAAAACAACTACAGAAAGGATCACCTGACCTTTGTTTTTTTGTGAGGTTTTTAAGCAGCGTGTGTGTGTGTGTGATTTTACTAATAAATCATACTTGTCTTAAGAACTGTCCATGACAACTTCGCTTTCCTTCTCACCTGTCTGGAGCATTACAATCACCAAAGGATTATATAAAGGCATTCTACTGATCTGAATACCAAATGACCACTACTCTAACCATACTAGCCCAGATTCAAACCTGGGAGTTACATCCAGGGTGTATCTGGTCCACTTTGTTGTTCAGTTACACTTACTTCAGATCAGTTGGAAATGGAGTAATGGTTTTAGTTTACATTTTTGTATCTATCTCTAAGAACTATATAAAATATAGCCAGACAGGATTTCTTTGAAATGAACGTGGATGGCCTCAGGGAGATATTATGTTTATGGGAGGGGCTGACCCTTCCTTAAAAAGCAAAACACAAGTAGCCTTAAGTTCTATGTTCTCATTAAAAGTACTCTGACCAGTCCTGAAAGAGTTCCTGATTTTTTGTTTGTTTGTTGGTCAGTCACCATGGCAACTAACTGGTTCTACATAAAGTTATAGTCCAAGCCAGCACAGCTGTAATGGAATACATTCCTTAGAATGAGTCAATGCCTTTGCTGCAAAGGAAGCACACTGTTATGGAAATAAATTCTAAGCTGATGTGCTCTGGTCAGAGTGGAAATAAGAAATTGTTCAGAATCAGGTTTCTCACTCCTCCACATATGTAAAATTATTAGTACACTATTTACACTTTGTTTTGATGGATCAGTAGTCCAACTCCTGTATGGTCCAAAGCACCTGGGCCCAGATCCTCAAAGATATCTAAGCACCTAATTCCCATTGATTTCAATGAAAGTTAGGCACCTAAATACCTTTGAGGATATGTGTCCTTCAGCTCCTGTTGGATTCAATGTGACTGTGGCAATGAAAACTGAGGAAATGGGAGCTGAGGTTGCTTTGTATCGCAGGATTGAGTCCTGTAACTATCACATTGAAGGCAGCCCATTATTTCCCAGGAGAGTAGAAATTCAAAATTATAATTGGATAATGTACACTATGAAAACATAAGGGCCCTGATTCTGCTCTCATTAAAATGGTGTCAGTCTGGAGTAACTCTATTGCAGACAATGAAATTATGCTGCTGTATGTGTAATCAGGCCTATGATTTCATCTGACCAAATTGATCTGGCTTCTGATCTATGAAAAATCTTGTGTATGAACTTTGCAGGTACACAGGCAGTTAACGTTCTTTACTTTAAATATATGCTTTAAATATGCTTTCCACAAAGTAGTAACCTGGCAAGTTTGTCACATCAAATGAAATGTGTTTACACTATACATAATTTAAATCAGACTATGACTTTGAATTGCTGTTAGAGGTAAGATTTAATGTTACTTTCCCTCAAATTATTCTTCATAAATGGTTTATGAAGCCATAAGCTTATGAGCCATAAGTTCTCGAAAATAAAACCAAGTGGCAAAATATACTTCCTCTCTAGCTCTTAAAACGCAGTGAAGGCTTAAGAAAAGTCAAATGAGAAATACCACAGTGAGAAATAAATTGGTCCATAAATATGCTATTTTTGCCCTGGGTGCAAAGTTCCCGACCAGTCTCTTTTTCAGATAAAAACAATTAAATTTCCAAATATAATGCTATAAATCTTGGAAGCTCTAAAGCTTAATTTCACCCCACTACTAATGGGCAAACAGCAATCAATTTACTTTAACAGGCTTTTCCAAGTGAACCTGTATGGTCTTCCTCACTAAGGTATGACTCTCAAGGAAGTTTTAAGGTAAAACAATTCCTTAGTAACCTAAATAATGCACTGAGTTGTTCTTTTCTGTTACAACAAATGGTAGGCTGTAGAGAGGGGAGAAGAAGAAAAGCAAGTTAATTTAGGGCTTGATCCTGAAACCTTTATACACACCAGTAAGCCCATTAAAATCAACAAAAATACACATGTGAATTGCAGGATCAGGCCTATAAATTTTAAAGATGGAAATATTTTAAGGCCAGAAGGGACCTTTATATCATCTAGCCCAGCAGTTCTCAAACTGTGGGCTGGGACCCCAAAGTGGGTCACGACCCCATTTTAATGGGGTCGCCAAAACTGGCTTAGACTTGCTGGGGCCCAGGGCCAAAGCCTGAGCCCCATCACCCCGGGCCCTCAACAGCATGGAGGTCCGTCTCAGAATAGCTTATGGCAATGCTCATTCTGGGTGAGAATGGAATGCTCTTGGCATATTGACCCTGGGGGGGGGGCATCCACCTCACAAACTTTGCTTATGTTTAACATTGATTGTTCCCTCTAGCACAAATTTAACATGCTGAGTCCAAACTCAAAATTCCATCAAGCATATCTAACTTGTTCTACAAGTTGTACCTCCTAGGATTAACCACAATAGAAGCCAAATCAGGTCAATTCAAGCATATCACAGTCTATGAATAGAAATCAGTGTTGTTTATAACATGAGTCAGATTAGTCCTTCGTGGGCTGTTCCTGAGTGTCCCACACATTGCAAAAGTGACCTCTCTGGCCATTTAACTAACCTCCACTGCTCATGGCTCACCCTGCCCTGAAGCCTCTTACTGATTTACATTTCTCAGCACAGCCACATAGTTGTGAGCTGCCCCAGTTCTGAGCCCCCTACAATGGCAGCTTGCAATGGTAAGGTGGTTTCCAGAATGTTCCAGGTCAGGACTGTGAGAGTTTTCAGAGTCTGGTCTCTCCTTCCACAATCCACCTGGGTAGGTCTGAGGTCTCCTGGAAGGCTGCGTATGATCATCCACAATCCATTTCAGTTTGCCGTGATGATGGAAACTCTGGGATGCTTGTCCAGAAATCATTGCTGTAAACATGAGTGCAGTGCTAGCGTGGGTGTGGGGTGTAATAACAAGCCCACTAAACATGTGTGTGAATACTGTGTGCTGGTTCCAATTGAGATAACTCAAGTTAGTTAAGGACAATTGAAGAATTCTCTTGTGTAGACCCAAACCCTAGGAGTGAGTAGAAGTGCAGGGTAGGCTCAGCGTCTCTGACATCATTTTGTGTATCCCTTGTCCCTGTGATATGTACTCATAAATAGCTACAGCAGTACCATGTGTTGTGCCATGGACTTTGCTGCCTTTTATGTTCAGAAGTTGCAAAAGATATTGAATATGGCTTGTATATGCCATTCTGGGATTAGTGGATGGTGATGTTTATGCAGTGACCATCTCATCACATTGCTCTGCAGACATTTGTGTATAATGGGAAAGGGTAGGGTGGCACTGGCACATCGCTTAATGCATCCTCCAGTCACTTTAGATTGCACTCCTTTCCCTGCCTAAGCAGAGCACCCATGGATGTGAAATAATGCTGGAGTGATTGTTTCATAGCCAGACTCTCTTTTGCCTGTGCTTAGAGTAGCAATAGCATGCACCCAATTCATCAAGCTATCTGCAGGGGAATGATTAAGAAGGAAAAGTGGAAATGTGTCTGATATTCTATTTATTTAAGTTCTTATACTGAGCTCTTCATGTGGTATTGGAGTGCTTTCCAACAATACATTAAGCAACAAGACTAGCATCTGCCATGTATGGCTCCTTACCCAGTCCTTTCTGTAGGGCAAAAATTGTGCCTAGAGATTAATTTGTTAAGGTTTTTTTATTAATTAAGGTCAAGGAAGTGTTCTTTGCACATGAGATGAAAAGTTGTAAAGTTTCAGGAAGTTCTTGTTTCCTGAGGGGGAGAGTTCCACAGGCTTGTACCAGCCCCCTGAGAATGCTCTGTCTTCTGCACACAAAAACTGTGGTGGATAATTCCACTGCTCCAGAGAAGTGGAATTGACAATCATCTTGATGCTGGCATGTAAGGTGACCTTTTATAAATTCTGCACCCAAAGAACCTTGAAGATACAGACTGAGGCCCAGACTTTTTAAAGATATGTAGGCAATGCTTCACTCAGCATTGCAACACCTAACTGATTTAGAAGACTAAATCTCATTTTCAAAAGTTATGTAGGCACTTAGGAGCTTAAATTCCACTGACTGTCTATCGGATTTTGGCTCTTGAGTCCTTTAGAAAATGAGATTTAGGCTCCTTAATCAGTTAGGTATTTCAGTGCTGAGTGCAGCAACACCTAACTATCTTTAAAAATCTGGGCCTGAGATTTCAAATGTGGCACAGTATACTCTGAAGAGCCAGTGAAGTAAGTGGAAGATGGGTTCTGTGTTATTGAGGTGGCGCTCTGCTATAATCTGTATCACTTGCTGTTTTCTCAGGGCCAGCAGGATGTGTCACACACCACCAGGGGAACCATTAGTCTCTTTATTTGTGTGAACTGGAAGGGAACTCTAAAATATACCTATGGCTTATTGTCTTGTTCATATTATTAGGAATAAGTAGGCCACAGAACGGAGGGCTTTTTTAAAAAAACACTTTATTTTGTGCTGGCTCTTGTAAGATAAAGAATCAGGTCTTTTTCCCAATAGAGGGTTTTCTTTCTAAAGTGTCTCCTGTTGTTTCTGAGTTGAACTTTAGAATTGGACTCTGCCAGAGTACTGAACAACTCACAGGAGTACCCTCAATTCCCTGTGACTTTAACGGGAGTTGAGGAAGCTCAACACCTTGCAGGATTAGACCTGCACAAACCTCCAGGGCCCGGCACGTCTCCAGGATGCAGCTCCCACTAGTGGTTCTGGCCGGCATGGCCCTCCTGTGTGTGGCTGACCCTCTGCGCCACCCCACCGGCTCCCGCGTGGCCCAGCTCTCTGCCGACTTTGGGGTGAAGGTTTTCCGGGAGGTGGCAAAGGTGTCCCCGGATCGTAACGTGGCTTTCTCCCCTTTTGGGGTGGCCTCTGTACTGGCCATGCTGCAGATGGCGGCCGCCGGGGAGAGCCGGAGTCAGATCAAGGCAGCCATGGAGTACGGGGTCCATGAGCGGGGCATCCCCCAGGCCCTGCGGTGGCTGCGCAAGGCGCTGACGGCCCCGAAGAATCAGGACAAGGTGGACGTCGCCGATGCGCTCTTCGTGCAGCGTGACCTGGGGCTGGCCCCTGGGTTCATGAAGACGTTCGCCCGGGCCTTCCGCCAGACCGTCAAACAGGTCAACTTCACGGAGGGCGAGCGGGCTCGCTTCATCATCAACGACTGGGTCAAGGACAGCACCCACGGGATGATCAGTGACTTCCTGGGGCCGGGCACCGTGGATGACCTGACCCGCCTGGTGCTGGTGAACGCGGTGTATTTCAAGGGGCTCTGGAAGCTGCCTTTCCCGGAGGCGGCCACGCGCCAGCGCATCTTCCACAAGTCGGTGGTTCATGAAGGTTCATGTCAACTAGGTTTGTAACTTTACACATTGCAATCCACCAAAACAATGTAGGGCTTTTTTCCTATACTTCACAGATTCACAGATTCCAAAGCCAGAAGTGACCATTGTGATCTAGTCTGATGTCCTGTATAACACAGACTATAGAACTTCCTCAAAATAATTCTTAGAGCATCTATGTTAGAAAAAAATTCTATCTTGATTTAAAAGGCCCATAAAGGCCCAGTTCCTGCAATCACTTACACTTATGCTTTACTACTATGAGCAGTCCCATTGATTTCAATGAGACTACTCACAGTGATAATGTTAAGCACATGCATAAGCGTTTGCAGAATCAGAGCCAAAGTGAGTGTCAGTCTATATGAATTTACCATAAGTGGGTTCCATTATATTTACTCCTTATCAGCTGCACACACCTAGAGAGTTTTTTAAAATGTGCATTTGAAGCCCGGTTGGTTTGTTTTTTGTTTGTTTGTCTGTTTGTTTTTTGAGAATTAGTGAGATTAGTCTCGAGTTTAAAAAAAAAGTATAAGGGTAGTCTGACTAAATCGCTGTGAATCAGATATATTCCTTTCCCTTGTTTTCTAGCCCTGCATGTGGACAAATTGGGGAGTGTACCGAGGAGAGCAATGAAAATAATAAAAGGTTTAGAAAATCTGACCTATGAGGAAAGGTTAAAAAAACTGGGCATGTTAGTCTTGTGAAAAGAAGACTGAGGGGGCACCTGATAACAGTCTTCAGATATTGAGGGCTTTTATAATGAGGACTGTGATCAATTGTTCTCCATGTCCACTGAAGGTTGGAACAAGAAGTAATGGGCTTAATCTACAGCAAGGGAGATTTAGGTTACATATTGAGAAAAACTTTCTAACCATAAGGATAGTTAAGCATTGGAATAGGCTTCCAAGGAGGTTGTGGAATCCCTGTCACTGAAGGTTTTAAGAACAAGTTCGACAAACACCTGGCAGGGATGGTCTAGGTATACCTGGTTCTGCCTCAGTAGGGGGCTGGACTTGATGATTTCTCATGGTCTCTTCCAGGGCAACATTTCTATGATTCTGTGAATGAAGCACACATTGACTGTAGTCTCTTTCTTAAGTTAAACTGTGCAGCGTAACCCTGCTTTATAAAATACTGGTTTAAGGAATAAATAAGAATGCCAAAAGGTGAGTTTAAAAAAATCATTCATTTGACACTTTGTTTTTCCAAAGAACAAAACCAGCACCTGGTCAAGATGCACTCCAGGAGTCTCTATACTGCAGTTTGACAGGTGAAGATTCCAGGAATGGTGCAAGTGGACACTTCTGGCTTTGATCCTAGAGACTAGGCACTTCATTAAAATAATGTAATTATTATGTAGAAAGTCTGAGGAGCAGTGCACCATCCTTAGCATAGACTTCCCATTGATTTATTTTCCATCACTGGCTGGAGATGAAGCAGAGCAGGCACACTAAGATTTTTTAATAATAAAAAAACAACTTTACCATCTGTTTGCTGACCAAGCCAAGCCAAACTGTTCTGTAAATTTCATCCCTATGTAGCATTTGGCTTGGTCAGCAAGCATATAGTTGGCAAAGGTTCTGGGGTTTTTAATATGATTTTAAAAATCACCTGCAATGTCTGCCCTGCTTTGACTCTAGCCAGATAGAAGGGGAAAAACCTTCTCAAAATCATCTGGAGCATTGTTGTTAAAGAGCTGTTGTGGTTTTGATTGTTTTATGGGAACTTGGAAAGAAGAAACAGAAGTAGCTGATAGAGGAGGCCAAGATCTCTTTTTCTGCTTGTTACTTCAATTTTTTCTTTCATAAAAAGAATGTAAACAAATATATATAGTAATGTAAAATATGAAAAGATGAAGATTGTACTTTAAAAAACATGCTGCTTCTATATTTTAACCATATCTTCACAGGAGTAGTACAAATACACAAATGAGACCTGGCTTCTGACTTGATACACCATTGAAGAGTGTCTAATCCTAAGTGTTTGGTAAGCATTGCTCTGAACCCATAGCGTAGCAGCTGATTTTTTTGACTTATACATGGTGATATGTATCAGAGATTAAAATTTGGATTTTTGTAAAATGTACATCTTCTCTTTTAGTCAATGTCAATACAGGCTATCTATGTTCAAGTTATCATAGCTGGTGAACTGATGCAATGAAACTTAAGTGGTGTCCCCAGCATGTAAACTCATATGACCCCATTCTGATCCATAACACCACTGAAAATTAGGTGTAATGCCTTTTAAATCAGTGGAGTTGCATTGGTATAAAATAGGTCTGAGAGGAAGATCAGGCTTAATGTTTTGGCTTGGTGTTTTTAATTGCCCTTCTGAAAATTGGGATCATCTCAAGATTCATTTTCACTATAACTCAAGCTCTAGTTCTCCCTGCAACCCAAAATATGTTCCCTAATCTGCAGTCTTTACTTACCTGAGTAATCCTTGTTTATGTAACTAGTCCCATTGATGCCATTGCTTTATAGGCTTGAAAGAGAGAAACTGTCTGTGTAAGGACTACCCACATGACTGAGGGTTGCAGGAACAAACACACACATTTTTACTTTACTCTTGGTAGGAATACAATTCAGTTTAGCAACCGCAAATGTTCAAATGCATTAGGAACCCATTGAAAGGTCTGTCTACAGATGCTTTGGAGAAAACTTCCAAGTCCCTATTTTAGAGCCTGATCCATCAGTTCTTATGTGCATAAAACCCCCTTGACAACAATGGAAATTTTGTGCATGCAAAGACAGGACTGGGTCCTTAGCTTGTTTGCAAGAATTATAGATCATTATCCAATTGAAGTGGCTTGAAGGAAAAAACAGAATGTTGTTAGCCTACTTTAATACTTTATATTTACAGTATTTTGAGTTTTGCTGCCAAGCTGGGAGGATGTTTTTAATGGTGTCCTGCAGGGGTCTGTCCTGAGTCTGGTACTATTCAACAGTTTCATTAGTGGTTTGGATAATATGATGGAGAATAGACTTACAAAATTTGCAGATGACACCAAACTGGAAGGGGTTGCAAGCACTTTGGAGAACAGGATTAGAATTCAAAATGACTGACAAATTGGAGAATTGAGCTGAAATCAACCAGATGAAATTCAATACAGACAAGTGCAAAGTACTACACTTAGGAAGGAAAAATCAAAATGCAAAATGGGGAATAACTGACTAGGCAGTAGTATTGCAGACATGGATCTGGGGATTATATTGGATTACAAATTGAATGTGAACTGACAATGTGATGCAGTTGCAAAAAGGCAAATATCATTCTGGGATGTATTAACACGAATGTCATATATAAGACACACGAGGTAATTGTTCCTCTCTCCTTAGCCCTGGTGAGGCCTCAGCTGGAGCACTGTGTCCAGTTCTGGGCACCGCACTTTAAGAAAGATGTGGACAAATTGGAGAAAGTCCAGAAGAAGACAACGAAAATGATAAAAAGTTTAGAAAACCTGACCTATGAGGAAAGATTTTAAAAAATTGGCATGTTTAGTCTTGAGAAAAGAAAGGGGGGAGGGAACCTGATAACAGTCTTCAAATATGTTAAGGGCTGTTATAAAAAGGACAGTGATCAGTTGTTTTCTATGTCCACTGAAGGTAGGACAAGGAGTAATGGGCTTCTTCTGCAGCAAGAGAGATTTAGGTTAGATATTAAGAAAAGCTTTCTAACTATAAGGAGAGTTAAGCCCTGGAATAGGCTTCCAAGGAGGTTGTGGAACACCTGTCACTGGAGATTTTTAAGAATAAGTTAGACAAACACTTGTCAGGTCAGTGGTTTTCAAACTGCGAGTCGTGACCCAGTACTGGGTTGCTGAATGTAAGGCATTGCGTTGCGGCAGCTCTGGTCAGCACCGCCAGCCAGCCATTAAAAGTCCCATCAGTGGTGCTGCCCGGCTAAGGCAGGCTAGTTTCTTCCTGTTCTGACACCGTGCTGTGCCCCAGAAGTGGCCAGCAGCAGGTCCGGCTCCTAGGCGGGGGGGAACCACGGGCTTCACGTGCTGCCCCCGCCCCAAGCACTGGCTCCGCACACAATGGGAGCTGGGGGGGTGGGGCGCCGACTGTGGGCGAGAGCCACGCAGAGCTGCTTGTGTGCCTCTGCCTAGGAGCCGGAACCTGCTGCTGGCTGCTTCCGAGGCACAGCATGGTCTGCCGTGCCAGGACAGGCAGGAAGCCTGCCTTAGCACCCCCACTGTGCCGCTGACCACGAGCCGCCCGAGGTAACCCCATGCCTCAATCCCCTGCCCCATCCCTGAGCCTCCCCCAAATCCAGAGCCCCTTCCTGCACCCCAAACCCCTCATCCCTGGCCCTACTCCAGAGCCTGCACTCCCAGCCCAGAGCCCTGACTCCCTCCTGTACCCCAACCCCCTGCTCCAGCCCTGAGCCTCCC